GCAGCCAGTCGAGAGTGCGTTTCGAGGGCCCAGCGGGGAGCCAGGACGGAGCCAATCCACAATTCAGGGGTCGGGGGACGACACGGCCAAGGTCAGATCCAGGAGGACTTCTCCAGCCCGAGGGCCCGGTGGCTCCGAGGGAGGGAACTCCAAGGGCAGGGCGTAGAGGGAGGGAGCCCCATCTTGCTATGTTTTTGAGGGAAAGGGAATTCTTGCCTCACTGCGCCTTCCAATCTTATCCTAATGCGAAAATGGACCCTGTTAGGCTTTGTCCTCTGCCCCACCAGAGTTTTGAGAGGGTTTTTCCGGACCTTGGAATGTTGGGTGGCCTAGTTTGCTTGAGCTTTGAGAATCTCCTTCCTGGCACCAGCACATCATATCAGGGAGGGAACTTTGGGCTCTGAGGGTCCAAGCTTTCCCCCTAGCCCCTCTCTTGGGACTAGTTTGGAATCCCTATAACCTTAGCTCATCTTCCTCTGATCCCAGGGCCACCAGGGTTACCACTCTAGGAAGAGTGGCCATGTGGGATAAGAACCAGGTAGGCCTGTGTTCTCTCCCTGATTATGCCACCGCTTGAGGCTTAACTGCTCTGACCCACTACTGGGAAGCTACTGCACCCACGTTGCTGTGTAAATCTTTAAGGGCTACCCACCCACAAAGAATAGTTTTTAAGCATGCCTGCCCTTCTCTCTAGAATGTGCTCACATCCTGGCCTGAAAACTTACTGCATGCCCTTTGGGATTGAGTGGTACATTAGTCTTTAGTGCCCAGGAGCCTGAAAACATGATGGTAGAAGGGAAGGAGTAGGACAGTTTGGATTAGGGAAGGACCAGTGTGGTGACCTTAGCATATCTAGCCATACAGTTCCAACTATCCTGAGCCCAGCTCTTTATATATTATCAAAGGCCAGCTCTGGAAGACTCTGCAAGATGGAATGGATGGAATACTGAGCTTTTACATTGTGGCAGGGCCTAGGTTTCTTCTGTTTGTAGGATATGGGAGTGGGGATGAGGTTGCTTCCTGGGTTCTTTCTTCTGACTAGATGACCTGTCCTACTGAGGTTTGGTTGTAGAAGGGGCTTTCCCTGAGCCTCTACCTCCTCCCTTTCAATCTCCAGGTTGCCTTTAGGAGGCTCTCACTGACCTTAGGCATTCCTTGTGCCACTCAGGAGTCCCAGCTTGAGTCCCTTGCTACCTCTGTTTCCCTGTTGTCCCTGGGTGGTTTGTTGGCCTGCAGGGGGAGAGCAGAAAGCCAACCCTGAAACACAAGCACCTGGCACTGTACCCCTCTTCAGGCTTCGCAGAGGAGCCAAGATCCATCCTACTCTATATCACATTTGGATAACACCTGTCATTTTTCTTGCTTTGAATTCAACCTTAATCTCACATTTGATTTTGGCAACCATGCTGGAAGTAAATAGTTTAGGTATATTTATTCCCATAACTGAAAGAAGAAAACAGGGATCAAGTCAGGTAAGTGGCTTGTTCAGAAGCCCATGTAGTAGCACTGAGACCTCAGCTCAGTCTCTCAGCCCCCAAGAAGGCTCTGTCCAAGGGACACACACTCTGTAGGCAGCTGGATCAAAGCAAGGTTTTCCAACTAAGCAGAAGTTAAAGTCCGTGAAGGCAGAGTTTTATTTTGTTCTTCACTTATTCTCCAGTACTAGGTCAGTTTCTGGTACATAGTGGGTGCTCATGAGTATTTGTTGAATCAATGACAGGATCTTGGGAGCAAATTAGTCTCTTGCTGTTTGTTACCTGTTCTAGATTCACAGGGGCCCGCAGCAGACTTGGCTTGATTCTCTGAACAGTTGGGCTCATTCTCTTTGTCCTTTCTTTTTCTAGGGTCTCCATTTTGAGGTATTCTAACAGCTGAATTTATATTATCATGGGCTTCTACCTGGCTCTTGCATGGACCCTCCTGATTGGGCCATGGACCCCCATGGGTAAGTACAGATTGGAGTAGAGTCAAGGTAGTGAGTAGAGGAACCCAGCATCCTCTGGGCTCCCCCAAGGATAGCAGCTAAGTAGTGATCATGTCTATATCTTTAGGCCCTATTGATACAATGTCCTGTACATGGTAGGTAGGTGCTCGTTTCTAGCTGTTGAATAAATTGATGGATAATGGAATGAAAATTATTACCAAATATACAGAATTAGGGAGCTGGTGTGTCAGCACTTTCTATTTCTTTTTTCTTTTCTTTTTTTAAAGAGAGAGTGAGAGAGGGGAGAGAGAGAGAGAGAGAATTTTTAATATTTATTTTTTAGTTCTCCGGGCCGCACGCATGCCAGGCGAGCGCGCTACCGCTTGAGCCACATCCCCAGCCCCAGCACTTTCTATTTCATTTCTTCCAGTTTTGGGGCCTTTTCTCCCTCCTCTATCTTCTCTCTTTTTTCATAAACTAAGGGTCTCTGATTCAAATTAGGAAAAGATTGATTGATACAAGACAATAAAGGGTCTTGGGATCATATTAGGCCCCAAACTGAAGGGAAGTTACTAGTGTTTTCAAACAATATTTAAAACCAAAACCAATATGATCCAGAAGATTTGAATCCTGTAATCTTCAGCCTTGGACAGTTTCTTACTACAATCTGAGGCTACTCTCTGTAGTCTGGGTGTGTGAGGAGGGAAGTGGGTTTAGGGTGCCACAGGTTAGATTAAAAGGAGCAAATCTGATCATTAGGGATGGGAAATGCAAATATAGGAATTGGAGAAAATTTGTGGAATGATCTGTGCCGGCTGGAGGTGACAAGATGATGACATGTCCCCTGAAGTTTCTTCCTTGCCAGAGCTAGTCACATTCACCTTCATTCCAGCTGTCTCCTTTCCTTGGCTTCGGGGGTTTCCTTTTCTCCCTATCTTTTGCCTCTTATCTCTAAGAAACAGTCATCCTGTATGCTCCCCTAAAGGATGTTCTGCCACCAGTTCATCTTATTTTAGAGATCACATGTATGTGGCTGTCCTCATCCCTGACCCTGTGTCCTTTGCTCAAACATCAGAGCCTCAGTCATTTTCCTTCCCTGATCCCCTGGTAAGTGAGTGAGTGTGCTGTGGTGGGTGGCAGAGGAGGCACACACGTGGGCAGGAGGGTAGCGAGATCCTGTCCTTGGTCTGAGGATAATCAGAGGAATTTGTCTTCTCTGACTGATGACAGGCCTTTATTCTGTTTTCTGAGATGAAAAATGGTCTGGTCTACTGACCAGAAAGATCTCCATCCCACACCTGATTCTGGACCCTCCCTTTTCTCCCCTTCCCTTTGCTCTGCCCCCTGTAGCTGAGTGCTCCTTCCTAGACCCTACTTTTTGGAAAGTATGATGGCATGAAGAGCAGGAATTTTATGCAGAACAAAAAGTCCCAGAAGGGGAAAAGGGCAAGGTCATCTACATGACCAGTCCAGCCCCAGGTCCCACCCAAGAAACTGGGAAAAAGACCAGAAGAGCAGTACTGCACCCTTGCCTTGGGCTCTGCTGAGCTGGAAAGGGCCAGGCTCCTTTCTAGACTGTCCATGCCCAGTGATAGGTCACAGAATGACTTGTCCTTCCCAGGTATGGGGTGTAACTGACTCCCTATTGGACTGAGGGGGGTGGGGTAGGTAGGGGTGAGAGTAGAGGCAGGAGCATGGAAATAATCGAGTAGGGACTCTTCGTGGAATTTTGTTGCCCCACTGGTTCTAGGACAAGCTGAAGGAAGTTTCTAATTTTAACAGAGGGGGCTCTAAGGAAGTCAAAATGATTGTTCTCTATGGTGTCTTCCAGCCTGAGAATGTTTTTTGTCCTACTATGATCACCAAGGATCTGAAGCACGAAGAGAGTGGGAGACCCCTGCATCCTCTTCCACATAGCTACTGTCCTTCTCTAGCCTGCTCTTCCTTTCTGAAGCCACCTGTCAGCAGGCACTGCATCCAGCTACTCTATTTTAGTGGTAGTATCTTGTCCACAGAGCAGCTTAAGATGGGGCTTGAGTTTGGCCTGACTTTGCCTTTGTCTCTCCCTCTATGCCCACCTCCCACCTCTGGGGTAGATCCAACTTCTGCTGCCCTGAGTGCCAGATTCACAGGACCCAGTCCCTGCAGGCCTACCTAGCCTCTCACACACTGACTTGCCCAGCCATCCCTTCCTTCCATTCTTACTCAGGAGCCCAGAAACCCATTGCGTGGGAGGTGCAGCGTTTTGATGGATGGTACAACAACCTTGTGGAACACAGATGGGGCAGCAAAGGTAGGTGAGAGCCAAGTGGGGACAGTGTCCCAGGGGCAGGCTGGTACTCACTAGAATAGGGTGAGAACTGGTAAGTATCAGCAAAGGCCATCCATTTCTAAGGTTTTAGGATCCATGGTATGGAGGGAAGCTTAGGAGAGATGTCAAGTATGCTCCCTGAGAATTTACCCTTGTTCTTATCTCTCCTCCATCAGGCTCTCGGCTGCAGCGTTTGGTCCCAGCTAGTTATGCAGATGGCGTGTACCAGCCCTTGGGAGAACCCCACTTGCCCAACCCCCGAGACCTTAGTAACACTGCCATGAGGGGCCCTGCAGGGCAGGCCTCTCTGCGAAACCGCACTGTACTGGGCCTCTTCTTTGGTGAGGAAGTCAGCCTCTCAGGAGGAAGGCCACTGGGGGTTAGCTAGACACCTCTGTTGTCTGAGGAGGGGTCAGGAGATGGGGACAGAGTGATGGAGGGTCTGACAGTGGGGATGAGAGATGGAGGAAGAGGCAATGGAGTAAGAGTAAGGCAGAGGGAGGGATGATCCATGTGAGGTGAAGTCTGATGGGGGAAGGCATAAATCTGTCTCCTACAGGAAGAAGAGGGGTGGGCAGAGGGAAAAGGAGCATCCTTCCCTTATTGGGCTGATAGAATAGAGGTGCAAC